CCAGCCGGGTGCATCGTGGCATTCTGGCTACAGCTTGTCACCCACAGCAGAGGCACGGGGCACCCCAAGTCCACCCCAGGGAGAAAAGACACAAATGGCTCTGGCTGCCTGGCTTGTAAAGCACACTTTGTGTGACCTCTGTCCTCTCCCTGGAGCAGCTCACCATGTCAGTGATGGGCTGTCTCACCAACCCATAGCCCTATGGGGTGACTGGATTCGAACCCAGGCCTGAGCCAGGGCCACGCTTCCCACCCTGTCCTCTGTGTCCAGCTGGTCCCCTTCTTCCTGTGACTCAGAGAGCCCCTGTCCTTCTGCGGAGCACTGCTGGGGACCTCGTGTCCAGGGAAACAACCCACCCCTGCAGGAAGAGATGGCCAGGAAGACACGCGGGGGGTTGGGAGGATGCTGACTGATCACCAGGCCCTTTGAAGCGGCTTCTCTTACGAGCATCTTGGCTTGCGTGGAATGTGTCTGGTTTCTTTCTTTGCACAAAGTAGGTTGAGTGAGTGGTGAATGATTGTTCTCTTCTCTCTGCCTGGAATTTGGTGTTTTCCCAGCGCCGAGCTAAAGCATACCCAGTGGCACTGGGCCTGCCGTCTGCTTGGTGAGCGGCCTTGCTTGTGGGGAAGCTCGGGGAGTGGCCGCAGAGCGTGGAGCCAGCCTGTCGTCTCCCCGGGGCCTGGCCCTGAGCCTGTCACAGGCTTTAGGAAGCTGGTGGGATCTGGAGGCTGAGACGGGCCTCCCTCCCACCTCCCCCTGTCTGGGCGCCCCAGGGTGGTAACGGGATGTCCTGCCCGCCCGGGATCTTCCCGCCACGGCCTCATTCCTGGAATTTCTGGGTGGTTTGTGGGGACGGCTGGGATCTGCCCTCCGCCTCACTCAGCCTGCGAGTACTGGGTTGGCTGTGAGGAAGAGCAGACAGGGAAGCCCGACCCAGGCCAGCTGCTGCCCGCTGTCTGGGGCTATGGTTGGCACTGCCTGGCCACAGTGGGGCCTCACCATGTGGACAGCCGTGTTGCTGGGGGAGCAGACCAGCCCTTCTGTGCAACCACAAGGAGAGTATTTAATCTTCCTTGAGCCTCAGTTTCCTCATCTGTGGAATGGGTAATAATGGCCGCAACCCCTGTGTGGAGAGGTGGGAAGAGAGGAACCAATGTCCCGCCCTTGACACCTCCTTGGGGAGCCCTCGTGACTGGGTCACCACCCAGGTCACAGGGCCACAAGCAGTGGGAGGGCCAACAGCCACTTTCAGAGAGGCTGTGTCCAGCTCAACACAACTGCCAGGAGACATTAAATGGTGTAAACTTGGTAACGCACGTGTCTACTACATTCTACTGCTTCTCTGTCCCCAAGGCTGTGGCGCCTGTCATCTGTGGGTGGCGTCTGGACTTGGAGGCATACACCGAAGGGCTCGGGGAGGGGTGGGTGACTGCGGTGGATGGCCAGGGGGCTAAGCCCGGCTAAAGACCCCACAAGCCGGTCCATGTGGCTGGCACAGAGCCGCAGGGGACAGGCAGCACACAGAGACGACCCTGTGTCATCGCCAGCTGTGTGAACTGCCAGGCACCATGGGCCCCGCACACCTGGCCCGACGTCGCTTTCCTCTGCAGTGGCCACTGGGCTCCACTCGCTCCGTGTGGCATCCAGCGGGGGTGTGCATTTTCTCTCAAGCATCAGACACCTAAAAATGGTGTTTGCTGAAGGCCAAGGCCGAAGAGAACTGTCCCCTTACAGCTTACCAGCTTTCCGTGGCCTTTTGAACTCCGTCCCGTGGCTGGCGGTGGTACCGCCACTGTTCTGGTGGCTGCCCCCGCTGCAGGCTGCTGCTGCACATCACGGTCACTGCCCATGGCTGTGGCCCAGCCTCCCTCTGCCACACAGGTGGGTGGGCTGCAGGCCCAAGAGGCTGAACACTGTGCTCGCAGCCCACAGCTGGTGAGGGGCAGTGTCGGATGGAACCCAGGTCTCCTCCCTGAGAGCCTGGGCTGCCAGCCGCAAAGCAGGGATGTGGGGGGTGCACTGGTGTGAGTAACCCCAGTACTTGGGAGGCTGAGGCAGGAGCACTGTGAGGGTGAGGCCAGCCCCGGCTGTACAGTGAGCTGGCCAGTGTGGCAAGACCTTATCTCAAAAAACAAAACAAAACCAAAGCCCAAGCAAGCAAGAAGAGGAAGAAGGAGAGGAGGAGGAAGAAGAAATCGGACACAGCCCTTATATGGTCCTTCTGATCTGGTCGAGAGGGGAGCTGAGCTTTCATCCCCTAAATATTTACTGAACAGCAACTTGTCAGACGCTGGCCACTCAGCGCTGAGCAAGCCCGGGCTTCCAGGAAGTGGCTGAGGCTGCAGGGGCTAATCCACGGCCAGCTGGAGGGAACAGCATGTGCAGGAGCAAAGCTGCTGGGTGGGGCTGGCGGCCAGGACTTTCCCAGTGGGGACACAATCTTGCAGGTGACGCAACAGCATGCCCTTCCCATCCCGTGCTGTGCACTCAGTGCGGCAGTGGCTTGGTGGCAATGCTAGCACCAAGGGGACCCCTGGGCGCGGAGGTGTGTCGCGGGCCCCGAGCTCAGGCTGGCATGCAGCCTCGCTGGCACCAGGCTCTTGTGCTTGACCCCGGGCAGCTAGAGGCCTCTACCTGGAGGGCCACTGTGCTCTCAGGGCTGTGGCCATGCCGAGCCCTGCAGCCCTGCGGGCCCTCAACAGTGGCAGCCAGCAGCCACAGATGGCACTGCAGGGCCCTGCGTGGTCAGGCCCCCTTGTTGCCTCATTTGCTGGAGATTTCCCACACAGAGTTAGCACACTGAAGAGATGAGGCTCCCGTAACTGCAGCTTAACTGCCCTGCTCTGGCATCACCCTTCACCTGGAACCTGATCGCAATTTGATCCTGGTCCTGTCACTCACGCACGCACGCACGCACGCACGCACCCACGCCCACTTTTCTTCCTTTTCGCAGTGTGGAGATGGAATTCAGGGCCTCGTGCCTGCTAATCAAGTGCTGTCCCATATCTCCAACCTTGCTTTAAAACGTAGGTAGGTCGTATCAGCACAGCGTAATAGTCTACAACCTGTTGTTAAAAACGGCCATGGTATTTTATGCTGACGCATAGCCCAGGCGTGTGTCTTTTATCTGTAGCCTAATATTCCACCCCTTCTGACTCACCACTCCCTGGGCCAATACCGTGAGCTGTGTGCTCTTGAGCCTGATCCCAGCTCTTGCCTGGGTGGTCACAGCAGGGTCACATGAGCCACTTGGTGTCCCTCATACTGCCACAGCAGAGTGAGACAACTGAGTGCATGTGACGCTGGAGCAGGGCGGCGGGGTCAGCCCCTCCTCCCTCGCCTCACCCCTGCCTCAGTGCTTTGAGGGCTCTCCCTGGAGCCCGGCCTGCTCCGTGGGGATGTGAGTAGATGGGGGATGGAAGCCTGGGGGACCGGGATGCCAAGAAGGTCTTGATTTCATTCCCAGCCAGGCCAGCGGGCACACAGAGTTCTCCCCGGGGAACCCATCCCAGCTCTGGCCCAGAGAAGTGGCCTCCAGGGACAGCGGCACCCACGTGCTATAAAGGGGCCTCACAGGCTGAGTTGAGACCCTGGCGGGCCCAGCCGCAGCGTTCCCGGAGTTCCTTGGCTCCCCATGCTGCCGGTGCCTCGGCTCTGCTTCCTGGAATGCCCATCCCGGCCTCTGTGTCTGCTTCCATCGTGGGAGTCCTGCCCCCCAGCCCCTGTGGCCACCAGCCCCATGGGCGGAGGCCAGCCTGAGACCCTGTGTCTTTGTCAGCCTTCTCCCCAGGGGGGCCTGCACCTCTTCCTCAGCCCCCAACCCAGCCCCGACCTCCTTGAGGTCCCCCTCATCCCGCACAGCTCAGGGAAGGGCATGGGTGCTCAAGACCTCCCCAGAAGGTGGCCCCTGCCTGTCCCCTCTCTTCCTGCCCCAGCATGAGGCTGTGGTGCTCAGAGCTGACCTCAGCCTCTACATCTCCACTTAGCAAGCAGTTAGTGACCTGGGCTGGCCCTATGACTCCCGCAGCCTTGGTGTGCTCTCCTGCACGACGGATTAGTGGCTCTCTGCCCGGGTGTGAGCTGTGACAGGCAGCTCCCTGGTGTGGGCAGTGGGTGCCAGCTGCTGCCTCTGTGAGCTCCTCTTGTGAGCACTGGGCCGCCCCAGTGAGCCCCCAGCTACCGTGTGAGGCCCCCGCCCCCCGCCTGGCAAGCTCAGCCCCAGCATGTGTGACAGGCTCCCTGCTGCATGGAGGCCAGGAAGGACTGGGTGGTCTTTAAACGCCATCCTGGCCCACTTTCTGTGGCTGTAACTGGATGCCTGAGGTTGGGCAGTTTATAAAAAAAGTCTATTGGTTCTGGAGCTGACATCCTGCGATTGTCGTCTCTGGCCCTGACATCAGCAGTACCTCTTGAGACTACTCTGTCCCTGTCTCTTCTTACACTGCCTTGGCCCCACCCTCTGACCTCAGCTAACTCTCCCCACCCCAAACACCATCAGCCTGGGACTCTGGGCACATGGTTCCTGTCAGGTGACCCTTGGGGGCCTCCTCAGGCCTGGAGAGGCTCTCTGTGGTGTAGGGTCTCCGGGACGCAGACAGCGGATCAGGGCCTGTGCTGGTTTGTGGTAAACTGAGTCCGCCATCCCAGGGAGCAGGCATGCCTTGGGCCTGGCTCACAGCGGGTCCTCCGGGGACATCAGTGAGTTCACAGACTTGCCTGGGCGCATGCGGCAGGGCCTAACTTGAGCCCTCGTAAGTGGGAAGGCTGGTTCAGAATCAGTGATGCCCTCGGCCCGTCTCAGGGTGGCTCCCCTGGCCACAGCCCGAGGTCTGTGCCCCAGCTCCGCCCTTCCAGTCATCATGATGTTGGACGTGTAGCCTCTGTGGGCCTCAGTTTCCTCATCTGCAAAGTGGGAAGAAGTGCTCTTGTTCTGGGCACTGCCCGAGCCCACGCGTAGCTGCCTCGGCTCCAACCTCTGCCCTTGCCCCGTTTCCTTCTAGAGCCTTCAGTGCCCAACTGTTCCTGGAGCCCCCGCTGCCTGGTGTCCCCAAGTCCCTGCTGTGGCGTGGAGCCATGAGCTGCATTCCGATTGTCACCGTGCCCTTGGGGCTGGCGCTGCTGGTGTGCGGCGCCCAGGGCTTCCTCCTGCCCAACGTGACTGAACTGCAGAAGCTGCTGGGCCGCTACCAGCAGGCAGAGCCGCACGTGCGCATGCGCAGAGCCATCCCCCGGGAGGACCGCGAGGAGATTCTGCGGCTGCACAACAAGCTGCGGGGCCAGGTGTCCCCGGCCGCCTCCAACATGGAGCACATGGTGAGTGCCGCCCACCTGCCCCTCCCCCTCCAGGCAGGAGCAGACTTCTGAGACAAGGTCTCACTATGCACCCGGGCTAGCCTTGGACGCGCAGTGATCCTCCTGCCTCAGCCTCCTGAGTGCTGCCTCGACATGAGCTGCCACGAGCTCAGTTTCTAAATGGATTTCATTTTAATGAGGCTGCAGCACCTGCCTGCGATTAGGGTTAGCTGCTTCCATGTTGGGCAGGGCAGGTCTCACCACCAGCTGTCCCGGCCCACAGACCCACCCTCACCTGGCCCTGTCTCCTTCCCTGCAGACCTGGGACGAGGAGCTGGAGCGGTCCGCAGCAGCCTGGGCTGGGGAGTGCATCTGGGAGCATGGGCCCACCAGCCTGCTGGTGTCCATTGGGCAGAACCTGGCTGTGCACTGGGGCAGGTAAGAGCCACCGTGTCCCCGTGCGCCTGTGGGTTGGTGTCTGTGTCCAGAGAGGGCTGGGGATAGCAGAAGCAGAGAGAGAGAG